CTATTGATGTTGCACTATACTTAGTTACACGCGTGGGTTTATTTATTAATGGAATGTAACCAGATTGAAAAAAGACATTAAAGAAATTATTAATGTGCTTATTAACGTCATAGTCAAAAATGTTGATGTTAATGTCACCAATAAAATACACACTTTTATTACAACTTGATTTATTTTTAATTATACTTTTAATGTGATTTTTGAACGCATTAATTTTTCCTGTAGGCGGTCTCAATTATATTTCTTAAGGTTTTGCTAATGATTTCTAGGCATAACGATTCATAGTCATTAGTGGTTGAGCTTAAGTTTTGCATTAATTTGTATGGTGATGAATTAATAATAAATATACATAAACCCCAACCTTCCTTGCCCACACCTCTACCCACCTTCATTGCCCACCCCCCTTCCCCCACTATCCTTGCCCACACCTTTTTTATGAACAATTTTTAGTTAAAACAACTTGTATTTTTCAAAAAAATTTTTTTGTAATACTATCATTTTTTATTCTAATCATCGTCAACTTCTGCTCTTGTATTAAAGTTTTTATTAAATTAATCAATTTCGATGTCATCGTCTGATGCGTCATCATCAATTACGTCGTTGCTTGTATTTATGTCTATTTTTTCTAGTATAAAAGATCAGTAACTTTCTTTAGAAGAATATGCATTAATTTTAGATCTTGTACTTAAAGACAGTGAACTTATATTTAGATCTGATGAGCCTGGGAACAAAAATCACCTCCTAGCCCAAATGCTAGGGCAATAAGTTACTAAAATATTTTAATTTACAATCTAATTTTTAACTCAAACTCATAATCATGATCAATTTAAATACCTTGTTCGAATATTTTTGAGAATGTAAAGTTTTTAAACTTTATCATCAACATAATATTTAAACATTTTAAGATAATGAGTTGATCAAATGAAAGTTTAAAACCTGCGGATAAATTGGAATTTAATAGATGGTAGTAAATTCAAATATTTTTTTTCCCAAGCTCCAATCACCTTATTTTTTTGCAAAGTATTCTCATTCGATATAAACATGAAGATTAGTATGATGCTATTTTTTATTATCTCATGTAAACTTTTATTATCTCGTGAAACCGTTTATTATCTCATAAAACCTTTTATTATCTCATAAAATCTTATCTGTAACATGAATAATTGTATTCTAAGAACAATTTAATAAATAATTTTTTAATTCAAAATTTTATTACTTTAAAATCAAAAGTTACTTGAGATATATTAGACAAAATATTTATTAGAAATATTGCAGAGTTTGTATAATATTGTTTAAATTAGTTGAAGTTAGAAGTAAATATAATAAAAAATTAAGTTAATGATTAATGGTCAATTAGAAATAAAGTTTTTTTCATTAATTTTTATTCATTTTTATTTTAGTAATAGTATAATTTCATAACTACCGCATAAGTGCTGAGGAAGCATCAAAGAGGAAGACGAACATCTGTAGAACATCATGCTCAAAAGAATCCAGGGCTTTACTGGTGACAGCTACTGCATATGGATTGCAAGCAAAATGTCTAGCTAATTTTAAAACTTTTCTAGAAATTCGGTACATTCTTGGCTGCTATCACCATTTAGTTGACACCCCCCGCTCCACAATCAAAAGCTGTAATGCAAATAATAGCAAAAGGCTTGAGCTGTTCTCAAATCTAAAATTTAGCCGTAAGCTGTCAAAATTTAGCTTGCCTTCAGTATCCAGAGCATCGCAAAAAAGATGAATAAAATTGTGGATTCTTATAAAACTTGTTTGAAGAAAAAACTTACCCTGGATTGCCTTATAGTATTTGATATCCTCGACAAAAATATAAAAATTAAGACAGAAGAACAGATCTTTTATGATCATTAAATGGCTAACAGAAAGAGCTGTGTATCAACCAGTCAAACAGATGTTGATCATCCTGCTAACAGGCAGTTGATAGCAAAAAACATGGGTTTTTATTATAAAAAAGCAATTATAAACTGGGTCAGGCTCTCAGAATGATAACTACTCTGACAACTTTCAGCTGTTGTTGGAACCACCCAAAAAAAAAGCTCAAATAAAAAAAAAAATAATACTTCTCAAAATAAAAATTATTTGTTTTACTTTTTTTTTTCTTCCTGGAATCGCCCCTGTCTAGTGTTGCAAAGTACTCAAAGGCTTTTATTTTTTTTTAAAAGAACAAATTTATCGGTAAAAAGTTTATCGCCTAATGTTTATCTTGTAAGTATTTAAAATACGGCTTCATCACTATAAAAACTATTATTAACTATTATTTACCTTCAGAAAAAACAATTAGACACAGGTGTTAGATAATAATCATATATCAAATCTGTTAAAGTTCTTGCTTTCTTTGTTTGTTTTCAGATCAATAAAGATTTTATATCTTTTAATTAAATTACCTTTTAAAACATTGAAAGACAACTCGTTGGTTGAACAATTTTAGTTTCTGCATGAGTTCTTGAAGTTGGCAATGCACAACGTAAACACAGATGAAAACTGCAAAGTCTTTCCCCGCCCCACTTTTTTTGTGTTTGAAACCTATTTTACAGGCAGACAAAACCCTTTGTTCTGGTATTCAAAGAAAACAAAAAAATCTTTTTTTATTATCTTCCGTTGCAATTTTTGACACGTTGCATTTACAACCCATCTTTATTACATGTTTATGGGTTAATTTACAACCCATGTTTACAGGGTTTTGCAAAGTTATAAGTGCACGTTTGCAAAGTTATAAGTGCATTTATAAAATTAATTTTAACTCTTATATTTTAAATATCAATGGAAAGAAAAGTACGGAAAACAATTACAGAAGAAATTAAAAATACGATTATTTTCAATAAGAAATTGTGAAAAATATTCAATCAAGGAAATATCCAACGCTTGTAATTTAACTCGAAATGCTGTTGGTCGTGTTATAAAAAATAGTGATAATAATACACCGTCATCTACAGTAAAAAGAAAAGAAACGTATAAAATCAAAAATTCTATAAATACAAACATTGAACAAACAATATTTAATTTCGTGGTCTGAAACAATGCCGTAGTTCAAAAAGAAATTCAAACGCAAATTTTAGAACAACATGGTAAAAACGTTTCAATCTTGTTTGTTTCCCGTAAATTAAAGAAATTAAATTTGACACGAAAAAGATTAGCAATCATTCCTCAAGAAAGAAGCACCATGGAAAGAATAAATCAGAGATCAATTTTTGCGGCAGAAGCATTGATCTCTAATTTTTTTTAGACGAAACCGGATTCAATAAACATACAGTGCGCTCATATGGCTATTCTCCAAAAATATAGGACAAAATGTTAGCCTCATGTGCTTAATTTCCAATTTAGGAGTTGAATGTTACCAATACAAAAGCGGCGCATACAATACACAATCATTTATTGATTTCATCAACAACAAACTAGTACCATTCTTTGCAGTAAATCCAAATAAAATTCTTATCCTAGATAATGCAAAATTTCATAAAGCAACTGCAGTACTTCAATTACTAAGAGAAAAAAATATTACTCACAAGTTTTTAGTACCATACTCCCCTGAATTGAACCCAATTGAAGAGTTCTTTTCAATGTTAAAATCCAATTTCAAATCCACGAGAAATGCTAATCGCGATATGACTGTTAAAGAAACTCTAGAATATATTTTATCACCTGATAATAATTATAGTCAACAGTGCAATGCCTTTTATATAAATATGTGAAGATGGTTGGAAAAGGCAATAAGAAGAGAAGAATTTATCTAATTAAAATATTTAAAATGATTTGTTTATTTTTTTTAATAATGTTTATTTTTACATGTCTTTTTAAAATATTATGATTAAATAATGTATACAATATTTTTCAAAAATTATTAAAACCGTTTAATCTAGAAAAGTTATTGATACATAACAATATGCTAAATTAAGTAAAAATGTAAAGAATTTTCACTAACTAATCACTTTTTAGAAAAAAAAAAAAAAAAAAAAAACACTTATTGATTGCTATGCTGTAATTTAATTGAATATTTTGCGCAATATTATTAAAGCTAAAAAAATAATTTTCAAAAAATTGTATATGCACTTATAACTTTGCAACCGTGCACTTATAACTTTGCAAACATGCACTTACAACTTTGCAAAACCCTGTATTACATGTTTATAGATTTTTATAATTACAAATTAAATTGGAGATTTTGACTAAATAATTCAGTAACAATTTCAGTTTACGAAAAATATAAAAATATAAAATGTTTTGCCCAAGTTTTCAATATCACTACCACGGTAAATAGATCTGTCATGACGCCATGACAGACGATTGAACATTGACATTGACAGACCATGGCCATTATGCCATGTGCTAGCTATTCAATAAATTCGGATAGCTAGCACATGAATAATTCGATTTTTTTTCAAATATTAATTTTTAAAATTGATCGATTACCTGCCCCTCAGTCAATAGAGTTGCACTCCTTGCATGTTCTACCTATTTGTCAGTCAGTATATATTTATTATTATTAATTACACTCCTTGTATGTTCTACTTATTTGTTATTCGATTTATGTACACTCCTTGTGTGTTCTACATATTTTTTAGCCACTAATTGTACACTCCTTGCTTGTTTTACCTATTTGTCAGTTGATGTATGTACACTCCATGTATATTCTACTTATTAGTTATTCGATCAATGTACCTTACATGTTGTTATGTTATTGTTACCACACTCCTTGCGTGTTCTACCTATTTTTCAGCCAGTAAATGTACACTCCTTACATGTTTTACCTATTTGTCTGTCTGTTTATGAAAAATAAACGGTTATGGCTTTGCTTGTAACATAATACGTATGTATAAAACATTTATGTTATAAACAACTATTATATTGATATTTTATGCGCTTTAACCCTGGGTGATACTTTCCGGGGGATTTTTTCTTAGGGGGATTTATTCCCGGGAGATTACTTCGAGGGGATTTTTTTCCGCTACCTTATTTTTGTTATATAAAAAACAACAAAAAAAATATTTTCAAATACTACATGAATTTGCAATAAAGATTACTTTGAAAATTAAAAACAAGTTTACAATAAATTTACAAAACAACAAAATGTTTTATAAGCTAATCGTGATTTTTAAATCTTTTCGATTGAAATGCCATTCGGTTCATACTTAGGTACTAAAAGTAATAAATTTATTTATAATTTTCTTTTATACACGTTTTGAGAAACTTTTCTTTAGAAAAAAAAAAGTAAATAGCGAATTGATAAAATATTTATCGAAATTACAAATTTTATAACATTAAAAATAGCATTAAATAATAAGTTAAACTTTTTCTTTACTTTATTTTTCTAACTGTTTCAAGGATAGAAGATATTAAGCAAAAACTTGTATAAGTGCAAAGCAGTTGCAAAACCTTGAATAAATGGAAAGAATATGGATAAGTGCAAACTGACACGAGTGCGCTAATGGAATGTGATATAAGTACTTGATATTTGAACTTTGATATAAGTACAATTTTTTAAATTATATCAGCTCAGCTAACGAGCTTTATAAAAGTAAAATAAAAAAACAACTGATAGGTAGAAACTCAGAAAAGTACATTAATCTGTTATGGGTTTTGATTTAGTATTTTTATTTCTTAATACGCATTATTTAAAACCATTTGGCGCACTATTTCAGGTTTGTACTTTTTTGAAACTGCTTTGTAGATGGTAATAAGACTTACCTAACAAAATGTTGTATTCCAAGGGAAAAAATAATTATGATCAACGAAATAAGCAACAAGCCAGAAGCAATTATTAAAATCTTTTTTCTTTTGGAAACAAAAGAAGCAAAACTACTTGGTCTTTCGGTATGCTCCAAAGCTTCCGGGACAATACCCTAGAATCATAAATTTGAAACATTAAATAATACGCGTTTAATAAAAAAGTCAGATAAAAAAACATTTTTAACTATAAATAAAGTTTAGTTGAAGTGGATATAATATCCTACTGAATATTAAAGATTCTTATACCAACACTCTGAAATGATTCTTATACCAATGCTCTGAAATTTTTATAAAGCTGCTAACCAATCACAAGCCATTATGCTGCTAACCTATCACAAGTACCAATCTTTATTATAGCAAACTAGATGCAGAGTTTGCTTTAAAAAGATTTTTCTTTAAACTGAAAACTATTACTTATTATTTATTTATTATTATTACATTTTTTTTATGATTAACGACTTTACAATATTTGATCAGGGCTCAATTTAACGGTCGGACATCGTTGTCGGACCATTCTTGAGACCTGCTAGAGGAGAGCAATAAACCATTGTTAATTTTGTCAGTAAAAATAAACAATTATTGAATGCCCCCATAAATCAGATCAAAAAACAATCTAGGGAGGGGGGCGGCAATGTCTGACCGTTAAATTGAACCCTGTTTGATTATTTTACAGCTTTTCTAAGCGATCATTTGCTCATTAACCAACTTTGCTTCTACAGAAATGAAAAAATTCCACTTTCTATAATTCGAAAATTTGTCTATTTCGAGCTTTTCTTCCCCGTTAAATTTGAATTAGAGAGATTGTACTGTATTATATTTTTTACTTTAAAAAGTAAAAAAACACAAATTTGTTTGTATTTCTCAACTATTTCAAGTATTAATTAAAAATTGTTTACCATATTCTGCACCAACTATTTCTATATAATGTAGACTTCTTTAATAACAATATATACAATTTACTCATTTGAAAACACTGCGGTTTTTAAAGATACTTACATATTCTCAAAATAATTTTTGAACGTTTTTAATTTTAATAGTAAATTTACTTATAATATATTTCTTACAAAATCAGAACTCTACGTTAAGTTCGCAAAAGCATTTCACTTTTTTCAAACATTTTTACCGAAATTTTGACATTAAAAAATAAAGCTAATCATTTTTAGGGCTGCGCCTGGTTGGAGCTGCTGTTTTTGTACCAAATTTGTAAAGCAATTCTCTTTGTAAACATGATACAAGTAAATTAGTGTTATTACCAGTATGACAAATCCCCTTCCTAGAGAAATTATTCAAAATCAGATGATTGAATAGTTTTAAAAGCAATCTACAGAAAACGTAACTAGTTTTTTGAAACCGTAAAAGAAATTTTTCGATAACCATAAATAATATTATAATCTTTGCCAATGTTATTAATCTGAATGAGTCCAGAATATAAGAACTAAAAAACATGCTCTAAAGTTTTTACCTTTAATTAGAGACATCTATAAAATAAAAAATATATACGTGCAAAGTTGTTGATAGAAATAAAAGCAAACTTAAAGAATAATTGAAGAAATGAGCAGATCAAAAAGAAAAATGTCGTCAAAAATGCACAAAATGCAACTTTGTGCATTTTTGATATGATATTATACAAAGTATAATATCATGTCAAAAATGTATAAAATCATGTCAAAAATTTTGACATGATATACATTTTGTATAATATTATGTCAATTTTCAATTGACATGATATTATACAAAGATATGTTTTATAATACAAAGGTGTTTAACTATATACAAAGATAATTCTTATGTATTTATAATGTTCAATATACCTAGTTTTTATTAATTTTAAATTTTCAACCTTATGAAAAAAAGATAAAGAAAAACATAAATAAAAACTTTCTTTGCATAAACATATTACTCTAGATTAATTTGTTAAAAGAATTTTATTAATTACCAATACCGTCAACAAAAACAACAAAAACTAAATAATGATGCATTTTCGATAATGTAAGTGATGATACAGACTCAATATTTGGGCAATGATGCAGAACCAACAATGCACGAAATGATGCATAACTAATAATATAAATGTTGCTAAAGTTACAAAAAATCAAACAAAATCTCATTTTAGAAAATAAAAATAAATAAGAAAATTATATAACGAAAAATCATTACCAGGATTAGACTTAGCACTAATTCCTAGAAACTTTACCACGTTAATATTGAGGCAACAAATCTGTAATACCAATAAACAACAATCTGAACTCAGGCAAAATCATCACAATGTAAAGAAAATTTGTAAATTCATTTATTCATAAAAAAAGAAACATAAACGACTTAAAATCCTTGCGTTACATACTACTTAAGAAAACCTTCAAATGACAAACAACTTTCAAAATAGTGTTTATCTTGTAACTTTTACATATATTTTTTATATAAGTAACATTAACATTAATGAGTATGTTTTGTAGTAGCAATTATAGTAGAAATTGGTATCTAATTCTAGTAGTGAATCGGTAACTAATTGTAGTAGTGAATAAAAAATAAAATATAAAATAGTTGCAACTTGCAACTATAAATATACACATTATATATATATATATATATATATATATATATATATATATATATATATATATATATATATACATATATATATATATATATATATATATACATATATATATATATATATATATATATATATATATATATATATATATATATATATATATATATATATATATATATATATATATATATATATATAAATATACATATATATATATATATATATATATATATATATATATTTATATATATATATATATATATATATATATATATATATATATATATATATATATATATATATATATATATTTATATATATATATATATATATTTATATATATATATATATATATATATATATATATATTTATATATATATATATATATATATATATATATATATATATATATATATATATATATATATACACATTATATATATATACACATTATATATATATTAAATTATATATATATACAGAGGCATAGGAAGATTTTTAAATGATTGAAATAACCTACTTTTAAAATAAAAAAAACCCCTCAATTTGAGGGGGTTGCAAACTTTACATGGTCATAATTTTTGAACACTAAAATATTTTACTATGAAATTTAAAATTCATCGATGAATATAACTCTAATTAAAAATAGTACAAAGAATATTTCATCAATTTATTGCTCTCACATTTGGGGCAGACTAAGATTTAGGGTTTCTTGTTCTCATTCTCCTTTCACAGTAATTTTTTTTTTAAAGAATTGTTTTGTTATACATATGAACGTAAAAAAATTTGGAATGTTCTTTTTGTTTAAAAGTTGGTTATTTCAAACATTTAAAAACCTTCCTATGCCACTGGTTGCAACAACTTTCAATTTTTAAACTACTTTCTTAGAAAGCGATGCTATTAAAAACAACGTGTAATAGCTGCTAACAATGTTAAAATGGTTGGTTACCTAAATATTTAAAATATATTTTTTAAAAGCATCGCTCCAATATTTAATCTAGTCTTGATTTTTACAGCTTTTGCTAAACACATATTGACATTTTTTCAAGTGTTATCTTTTAGTTTTAAAATATCATATTATGCTTTAGCATTGGAAATGTAATTCGTCGGGGTGGTGGAAGAGAAGGAAAAATGGGAACTTATTAACTTTAAAACATTGTATTGAGTTTTTTATATTTTATCGTATACACAGCTGCAATAATTTGATAAACGTTTATAATAAATAAAAAGTAAAATAAAAAGATTTATTATGAGTTGAGGCAAAGTGGTTCATTGCTGTCTTGGTTAAAGTGGGTACTGTTTCATATTGCTTATCTCGTAATGGTAAAGCATATAAACTTCAGCCGACACATCTAGTTTCACTTTCAGAATTAAAACCTGTATAGACACACGTTCGTAACGATCCAGGCGTAAACCAAAACACGATGATTTGATGGGCAGTTTTACTCAAGTTCAACATGTGTATTATAAGATTTTAAAGTCACATTTAAATGTCGCATACTTTTATCACTGGTTTCACATTCGTTATGGAAACCTAATACAATATTGTTCAATGTTTCCGTAAAGCTTAAACCATTAATAAAAACTTAATACTCTAATTTCCGCAATTTTTCCGCATATTTCAGTAAACAGTATTAGTAAATTTTACGATACTGAGACCCCATACTTAATACGTCCCGACGGGCAATTGTTTTTAAAAGTTACGATCTAAATGTATTTTAAATGTCTTTTAAACGTCTTTTAAACATTAATGTTTAAAAGACGTTTAAAACACATTTAGAACGTAACTTTTAAAAACAAATGCCCGTCGGGGTGTTATTCTTTTTGATTTTAGGGGTTTTAAAAACGCAACAGAAACCATGTTTTTACGGAGTTGTGCCGGTGACGCGAAATGAATCAACTCCCCGAAAAATTAACTCCCGGTTTAAACATTTTAACTCTCCGGTTAATCTATTTCGAAATAAATTAACCCCGAGAGTTAAATTATTTTAAAATATGGCGAAATGGGTTAACCGGGGCTTAAATATTTCTAACCCCCACCGAAATAAATTAACCTCATTTGATACGCGTTTTAAATAGTTTAACTTATAAAAAGTTCTACAAAATTGTGTAAGTAGTTTAATATAATTTTTTAATATATATCTTTAGTTAGCGTTGAATAAAATTATTTTGTAACTGTTTGTTTTTGACAAGTTTGTATATTGTTGCAAAAATTAAGGAGATCAAAATAATAATAATATTGCACGAACTTCAGTAAACCTTTCTCTTTTGAGATTATAAAGTTTATATAGGTAACTAGTTAGCTATCTAAACTATATATATATATATATATATATATATATATATATATATATATATATATATATATATATATATATATATATATATATATATATATATATATATATATATATATATATATATATAAATTAGTAAAAACACTTAGCTAATTTTCTTCGACAGTCATAATTAGGTAAGTGTTTTTACTAACTTAATATTGCTCTGTTCTTTAAGAACATCAAGCTCTTTATTCTAGGCAGTTTGGAGGATTTTCTGTT